CTCTCTCCAGGGCCCACTGGCCCCTGGCTGGCTGCCAACTGGGCTACCAGCCCCCACCGGCTGCCGGTAGGGCTCTGCTGCTGGCCCCTTACCAGACTCCCAGACAACAGCCGGTGGGGTTCTCTGGTCCAGCAACATCTGCGGTCCTGCTAGATGTTGCCGGACCAGAGAGGTTCAACCTGTACTTTTATTTGGAATGAGTCACAGCTTTAAAGCATTCACAGCTTTCATCCCATTAGGATGCAAATACTATCCCTTCATTTCAGGCTATGCCAGCAACAGCCACCGCATATTGTATTGCTCAATATTAGCTACCAGGGAACAACATCAGGTTTACAACAAGGAATCAACTAGCTATAATCATTTTAAAAAGGGAACACACTCTTCCCAGCGGACACTCTCTTCATCACAGGTGCCGTTTGCTCTTTTCCTTCCTCTCTACTCCTGCCAGGTCCTAAGCCAGAAACTACCCTTCCAGCTGAGAAAAATTGGACAACACCCTTAGACAGGAAGTGTTGTTGTTAAACCAGCAACTAATGGGAGTCTGAATGCTTCAATTAATTGGCCTCTCGCAGGGTGGTTGAAGGTGTGGTGGAATTTACACACAACTACAGATTGCAGAAGTTAGCTTGCTGAAAGAAGATGAGTTAGAGGGAATTTGACAAGGCAGATGATGAAGGGGACAGTAAAAACTGATGATTTCACTCCTTCCAGAATGGCTCAAACATGGAGGACAGATCAGTTAATAGCAGGTAAACTGCTCTCTTGCTAAATAAGATTTAGCTGTTCTCTGTCTAGTAAAACTGTGCATTTTTCCAGTTGAAGATCTGTCTATTCCTTTGGAAGAATATGCTCTGTTCCGAAAATAAGCCACACCACTCACAAACAAAACCAGGTTTTACCTTTACAAAGCTCGGTAAGCAAAAGGAACTCGCCCTGCCCAGTATCAGATTCTTCTTTTCCTATGGATGCAGCCGAGCAGAACTGGACAATGTTAGGATGACCTGAAAGCTTTTTCTGCAAATTTGTTTAAGGAAAATCTTGGAAGAGAGTCAGATTTTCTTCATACTGTCAAGCACAACCAGCTCATGTACAAGTCTCATTGGAAGTGTTTAATGTACACAACAGAAGAACCTAAATAGTGTCTCATTTAACAGAATGAGAACAGGCAGACACCCAAAGTAAAAAACCCAATACCTGTTAATAACAATGAACACTCTGATCTAGGTAGCGTATAGTCTCCCTTGACAAGGTGGGCAGTGCAGCAATATAGGCATTAGTAAAGACATTTCCATCAACCAGACTTTGTCATAGATATTGGGTGACATTCTGGCTGGGCGATCAAGGTCGGGCCATTGACCACCATACAAATCTTTATATATTAGTACCAGGTGTCCCGTTCTGTTGTGGGGGGAAGGTCAAGGGAGGGAGAGAGAAGTCAATCTCCGATCCTCGTCACAGGGGATGAGTCTAGACTGCAAGCTTCTTTTGAAGGAAGATTTTCCGAATGAGCTCTTTTGAAAAAGCTTCTCTTGAAAGAGAGCATCCACACCTCAAAAGTGGATAAAAAAAGCAATCTGCTTTGCTGAAAGAGAGCATCCAGACTGCACGGATGCTCTCTCTAAAGAAAGCTCTGATTGCCATTCATAGAATGGCCACCAGGGCACCTGTGCTTTTTTCGATTGCCTCTTCTTTTGAGAAATGTCCCTGTTCTGTGTTCACACAGCAAAAGCACGTGATTGCAAAGTGGACGCAGGTGAAATTTTTCGAAAGAAGGGCAGTTTCTTCGAAAAAACAATGTAATCTAGATATACCCTGGGTGAGAAGCTTACAACGTATCTGGTTAGGTGTCTGTAAGCAACTAGAACAGTGAGATTCCGGTCTAAAATGAGTGTCCACAGGTGTATTAAGCCAGCTGCTTAAAAAAGGGTATTGGCCAAGGGTGGTGAGTAGTGTTGTGACTATCGGGCCTATGAAGTGTGCCCCTATTGTGAACTCAAGTGTGAAAAATGTGTGACAGTTCATAAGACATTACAATAACCATGAAAAATGGGTCAAGTTGTTTACCCTCTCGTCACCTGTCCCACCTTGCATCCTGTTTCATCCTCCTACCTGCCAGCACTAGAACTCATCTAAGGGATTTGCATCCTGAAGAGAAGACTGGCTGTCCTGGGTCTTGTTTAAGCATTTGGTTTGTACCTGTGAGTGCTGCAAGTCATCGCATTACCATAACAACTAGTTCTCCCAGACTGGCAGCGGGGAGATCTAATTACCCACACCGCAAAGGCACCTAAGATCCTACACTGTATTCTCTTGCCTAGTCACATTATCTTCTACTCCGCCGTTTCTTTCTTCCTTGCCTCTCTCACTCCGGATATTTAATTGAATCCTGAAGTCAACTATTCTGCAGTCATCCAAGCCTCTATTGTCTAAAAAGAAAGGATCCAACCAGATCATAACTAACCAGGGTCAAAGCAGCACGTCTCTGTTGACTAGCAAGCATCCAGTTGTCACTAACCAGCGACCCTGTGTGCCAAAAACAATGACATCCATATTTCATCTATCTTTCCTACCCTGGCTCTCCTCCATCTTTAGTCTGTCTGTATGTTAAGAACAGGGTGATGTCCTTCACATCAGGAAAGAGTAAAATTAACCTTTTCCTTTTCATCAAAGAAGAGCTGTTCTCAAAATAGGAGATGATAGTTTGACACCTAAAGGACAAACTAAAGGGAGACAAACTTCAAATAGTTTTGCATAATTACTCAACCACTGTTTCAAAATAAAAACACTTGTTTTAGTTTCCTGTTCGTTCTTGTTTAACAAAAAATTCATATGAAATGAATGTTTTGATGTGTTTTTCAAATAATCAAGTAAAACCCAAGGCTCTATTTAAAAATAACATCAAACTTCTTTATCGTTGTTTAATGTTGGACAGGGAACGAGTTTATAAAAAATCTGCAACACTTCAGGCCTCTGAGAAAAATATCCATACAATCTACAAGGAAAGTAGAAGTTTAAACAAGTCATTGTCCAACTGGGAAATGACACGTTCTCTGAATTCCACCTCTGAAGTTACATCAGACCAAACCATTGTTTCACACTGTCCGCAACACATTACAGCTGTTTAGTTTAGAACCGTGGAAACATTCTGTGAGTTCACAAATCAAATGTTGGCAATTAGTGACATTTATCCTTCTACAAGGAAAGTAGAAGTTTAAACAAGTCATTGTCCAACTGGGAAATGACACGTTCTCTGAATTCCACCTCTGAAGTTACATCAGACCAAACCATTGTTTCACACTGTCCGCAACACATTACAGCTGTTTAGTTTAGAACCGTGGAAACATTCTGTGAGTTCACAAATCAAATGTTGGCAATTAGTGACATTTATCCTACGACTGGTCACTGAAGGAAGTAAATAGCAGGGGCAATAAATATGTTTAAAAGGGAGCTTGACACCTCCATCTCTTTTTGGTGTAGTTCCTTTGGTATCAGTTTTCCAGAGTTATGGATGACACTAAGCATGTAATAAGGGGAGTGGCACAACTCAGGGGACTGGTATGATTGAAAGCCTTTTTCCTGTAACTCATTCATCTGTAGCAATCCCAGGTTGGCAGATAAACTCTTTAAGCTATAAAAGCTGTTTAGTGATTTCTGAAATGAGCTGGAGATCTTGGTATAGAGCCCATGGAGCAAACATACAATTAACAGAGGCCCTGGACTGAAGGGGCACTGAGACCACCAAAGACAGCTACTATCAAGTAGGGAAATAAAATCCTGTTTAATTAGTTAACCTGTTAAATATAGTGCTTAACTGGTTAACCAATTACAGAGGAAGTGGGTGGAGGGGGCTGCTCTAGCCTTTCTGGGCTGGAGTGGCCCCCCTCAACTGCTCCAGCCCCCGCCAGTAGCAATACCCAAAAGGGTGATGCTTACCGGTTAAGCTTCCACCTCCCTACTATCGATATCCGAGACTGTTCACAGTAGTGAGCGCAGGCTTGTGCTGTAGTTGGTCTGTGGGTAAGAGGAGCCTTCAGTCTGTAGCCGTTAAAAACTGTACTCCTCAAGACAACAATAAGGAAGTATGAACCCTAAGATACACACTCAGTGATGATACCATTCTAACCAGACCTGAGCGTCTCCCAGATACTGTCAGAGAGAACTGACAAACATGGGCCTCTAGGAAGTCACACAATAGACTGAAGCAGACTAATTCTGAGTCTCAGATTTGGACCTTCACTTTTGGCCACAAAAAGCCACATCACCAATACCAAAGGTGATTTTATGTACGCTTGTCAGACTGCAACAGATTCATTTCCTCAGAACTAAACAAAACAGCAGAAATGTCTAATGGCAACTCAGGATTTCAAACATTTTCTTCCCTGGAGGAATACTTGACAACTACTTTCAGTGGCCATATGGATTCTGAAGAACAGAAGTTTACAGCAAACATCTACGTCCTTCAAGCTGTTTCACACCAAGCATTGCCTTCTTCACAGTATTGAATTTTGACAAAGGATACCATAAAACAAACTTCTTGAATGATGGCTCTGTTCTTCTCCTCTTCATTTGACAATAACCTCTGTTTCAGAAAAAAGAATACTGAAAAAGGTATACAATTTTGAAGTATTATAAAAACACATACATGGGAAAAATTAGAGTTAACATATGGTCAGCTCTCCAGATAAGGGAACAAGGGTCAAATCCGAGATCCCCGGCTTGTACACATTTGTCACCACAAAAATAGCCAGGTTCCTCGTTACATATCCCTCTGTTCATCTCTATCAGTGGTTTTCAACTTTGCCAGAGTACTTACTGTTCCCCTTTAAGTAGTCTGAAGCCCAAGCCCTGGTGCCCAGATCTGAGGCATGTAATTCAGTTTTAGGGAGCCCCATGTGGCACCGAGCCCCCGGCAACTATCCTGCTTTCCATTCTCTAACACTCGCCCTACACTTGTGACAGCCCTAAATCCGTCTTGTGGCTGCCCTGGGGCTCACAACCCAGAAGTTGAGAAAGACTGAACTAAACAAGCTGCTGTATCCCCCCCAAAAGAACACTGCAAACACCTGTTTGAGAATCACTGATCTTTATCCTCTCTCCAGTAGCACAGCCTCTACAATCACACTTGTGTTACAGCACATTGCAAGTCTCCTCACTCACCCCCATCTCCCCGCTCATTATGGAGCATGTGATTAAAGAAAAATCTGCTGCAGAACTGTGATGTTTTGCTTCAACAAATGAAGTCGTACAGTAGATTCAAGGGAGTTTTTACTAGAATTAAAAATAAACGTCATAGCTGATTTCTTGTTTTATCTATGTGGATATTCAATACTATACTGTGCCCCACACTTCCAATTTGTGACTGATTTATACATCCACAACATTGTGGTGGCAGAGGGAGGAGAGGAAGATGGAAGCTTTGGTAGCTGCAACCTCTGGCACCTACAAGTGCTTGGGTTTTCTGATCACAGTGCCTGTCTCTCTGATCTTGTTAGGCCTAAGAGAGATGGATCGGGAGAAAACGTAAGATGCTCTTGTCCCTCCCTTCATAATGCTGTCCCCCTTTGGAAATGCTTTTTCCTGAAAGTTAACACTAGAGAAATTTTATTCCCACTGTGAGGTTGGAGCCATGCAGTCTTGTGGCTAAAGGTGTTTCATGTTGTTGCCTGCTAAGGGTTGGTCCACGCTACTACAGCCGGTCCCCGAGTTATAAACGGTTGATTTACGACTGTTCACATTTACGACCAAACCTCCCATTAAGCGGTCCTAAAGGCAGTCCCCGAGTTACTAACATGACCCGCGATGACGAACAGCGCGGTCACAATGTAACTAAAGGGGTCTGACTTACGAACAATTCGAGTTACAGCCAAGTGTTTGGTCCGTAACCCGTTCGTAACTTGGGGACCGGCTGTACTTGAGTAGACCTAACTTAGGTCGTTCAGGAGTATGAAAAAGCCACCTCCCTAAGCACAAGTTACCACGATCAAAATGCTGTCCACCCCAGCTCTGTATTGGCATGAGACACTTTCCCACACACATCACTTCGGTCTCTTGCAGAGGTGGAGTAATTAAAGGATTGAAACACATATTACCTTTAAAGCGTAATCTTTGCCACTTCCAAGATCTTGAGCTTCATATACAAATGCAAACCCACCTATGAGATGAAATAAATTATACATTTCATTAACATCTCTACCACGTACATTAACTATTTACCTTTATTTCACAACTAGTAACAAAAATTTCAGTTAATACTGGAAGCATCTTGAAATAAAGTAAGTGTATTTGATTATATTTTCAGTTCCTAATTAGCAACATAAAGAATATGATAAATATACTGGCAAGTTGGAATGCACTTCTACTAGGGTTCGGAGAGATGATTAGGGCTGATTCATTAGCCCTCTACAATTGTCCCTTGTGTTAGCAGGTCCCTCCAATATGGCAAAAATAAAGGTGGGCTTGCAGCCCTACTAGAGAGCAGAGAAACAGCACTCTGGACATTGAATCCACACATTTTTACTTGTTCATTTGTGGCTTGGACACAGAACACATCTCCCAAAACTCAAAGACTTAAGTGGTGGCAGTATGTAGGAAGAGGTCCCCAAAGAAAAAGTGAAGAGGCTAATGACTTTCCCAGAAGTGAACCTTAAAAATTATTCCAGTGCCTACAACTACATGCATCTTCTTTTGGTAATGTTTTTGCTCTCTACTACTGTAATTAATGGCCTACCACAGTGGGGTGCTCTCAACTGTAGCCAGTCCTAATACTCACCCCTTTTTGACGGATCCATTCCTAGACACCCCTTTAAGTTGCCTTGTACGTGCTCTGGAGTTGTTCCCACATCACATCTTTCCTTAGTCTCTTATTTGCAGGTTCTACCTCATTTTACACCCTTCACCCTTTTCTCTGCACTGTTACACTCCCCTACTTTGTGAAGCACACAAGTTCACAGCTGCTCTCACTGTCCACTTCCCGAGGTCTCCCCCACTGCTTGGCTTTCTGTTCTCCGCTGGCCTCTGCAGCATGACAACTGAAGATGCCCTATGCCAACTAGGGACTTAAAATCCCATGTAATCGGTTAACTGGTGAAGTGCCCAGGTCTGCTGCGGACAGGTAGAGAACTGCTCCAGCCCCCACCAGTTAACCTTTCACATCCTTAATGACCACAGATCTCCAGCAGACATGACATAAAACCAGTTCTGCAAGCAACAGACATCGCCAGGAGAGCTCCTGCCAACACAGTGCTATGCACGCCAGTGCTTATGTTGGTGAAACTTATGTCACTGGGTGGTGGTTTATTCACACCCCTTCTCAACATAAGTCATGGCAACATGAGCTGTAGAGTCGACATTGCCTCAGTTTAGGTATTAAAACCCAGATTTCAACTCTGTAAGGCAGTGGTTCCCCAGCTTTCTGGCATCAAGGCCCCCTTTTTGATTTTTGAACCTCCCTCCCCCTGCTCGCCCCCAAAAAGACAGCAAAACTTGTTGAGAAAAAAAAAGGAACTGAGCTTCCAAGGGACTCTCCGGGATCTCTCAAGTACAAAGGGGCGAAAACCACTTGTGTATTTGGGTTTTCTGAGCTACATTTTGCAAACATTCACACACAACGTTCCAAACATGATCAACTTTAGTCATTTTCAAAACCATGACTTTCTAGCATCAGTTTCCCTGCTAAAAGCATTCAGAGTTTTTGCAGCAGTACAACATGTAGGTTCTTGCATGAACTACATGGGGTATGTGATGAGCTGGATCACAGGGGTCCCCTTGGGGTTGTTACTCGGTATGCTGGTCTTGCCACTGAGCCTGCCTACCCGCCTTCTGTGGCACCCCACCAACCTATCCTGCTGGCCTCCCAGCCAATGTACAGAGTTGGGTAACGGCCCCCCAGCAGAGCTACCCCAACACTGAACTAGCAAATAAATCCACCTTACATCCATGTGAAATTTACACAAAGAAAGCTCATTAGGTCAGCACTTGTTATCAATGAAAGAATGCACAGAAGTTGCTCCCCGCAGGTAACAATTACTTACACTGGGCTTGATAATAAACAAAAGCGTTTTTATTAAGTAGGATTCGAGTGACTGCAAGTGAAAACAGACAGATGAAAGTTAGTTACTAAGCCAAAATAAACCAAACACGCCAGCTAATCCAAATGCACTAAGAAACTTGTAACATGCAAATTCTTCCCCTAACAGTTGTTCTACTCATCTCTTTCACAAGCTAGGCAGCTTCCTAGATTGGGCCCGATCCTTTCCCCTGTTCAGTCTTAGATGTTTCCAGCAAGCATCTTGGGTGGTAAATCTCCAGGCATCTGGTCACCCTTCCTATTGTTTGGTTTCTCCCCTTTATATCCCTTTTGCCCAAGACAGGAATTCTGTGTTCAGTTCAAATTGCTCTCACCTTGAGTGGAAAAGTACCAGATCCAAAATGGGTTCCAGCTTCAGGTGGCATGGTCACATGTCTTGGTAGGACCAACCACTGTTTGGGTTTATAGGAAAAACAAAGCCACTTGCAGGTTGTTTACTTGATCACCCAGCCATTAAGTTCATAAAATATCACTAATGGCTTCTACTTGAATACCTGGACTAATAAAACAGGTCCCTATACAAGAAAGATACATGCACACAAATAGGATATACAGATTCATCAGATTACAACTTTTAAGGTGACATGTCACAGGCTATACACTGCATAAAGCATATCTGAGTTATGTATATTCATAAGCCAGTTTTCAGAAAGCAGGGATGGAGGGCTAACATTTAGTTGTCAAACTACAATTTGTCACTGGACACATGCATAGTTTGCACTCTATTTCCTTTTCAGAATGCCAACAAGGCAGGGTCGTTATGAAATTGATTCAGCGCTCTAGACACAAACAAACCGCCTAATTAATGGGAAATGACACAGAAGTGAGTCACAGGCCAGCCTCTTATCCTTATTTATTAGCTCCTTATAATTTAATATGATGTTCAGCTGTGTGTTTGTATACACCAACAGCCAACTATTTGTACCATTCTAACCCATTTCAGAAGAGATATCAATTTCTTTCTTCTGTGGATGTGTGTGACGGCCAAAATTATAGTATAGATAGAGCAATGACCTATTTGGCTGCAGCTTTTCTTCCACTGTTGAAGTATTTGCCCTGCAAGATTATAACAAACTGCAGAAGAGAGGTAACAAAATGAAAGGGTGGTGGAAAATCAAACATACCATTCATGGTAGGATCTTACCACGACCCCACACTCTCACCCTGTGTTATAGATTATCAAGAGTTTTACACGAGAGAAGAAAAGGAAGGAAGAGATCACAATGCCCTAAGCCTGTAACATTTCATGAATCAGCAACAAGGAGGATGCAGCAGGTCTAAGGAAGAGAGCAGTGTAGGAGAGAAAAGGGGGAACTAACCTGCTGCTCCCCTTGACTAAGGAAAGAAGACGACATCATCTCCAGCCCAGCAACCCAGCACAAGTGTGAGCAGCTGCTCTATGCCTGAGGCAGGCTGCCCAAGTAACTGCATCCGTTTGCTTGGTGAGCAATCCAAGCAGTTAGAGTACCAGGCTTTTCCGGACAGCTGCTACTCAAAAGCCTTGTGTAGGGTTGTGCATGATCGCTACACTGTCACAAACAGCTAAATCAGCAAGAGACTCCAAAGGAGGGTCCCCTCATCTAGGTTTCTAAACAGTGCCAGAAACAGAAATGGAGCAACATTACAAAAACTCCTGGACTCTCCCTCTGCTCTTAGTAGCCTTAGGGAACTACTATAGATAGAGGGAGCACAGGCAAAACGCTGGGGGCATGGATGGAAGGAAAGGAACGAGTAGATGAACCGGGGGCTATGAAAAAAGATAGAGCAAGAGAGAAACTATGGAGGGGACAGACCAACTATAGAGCATGGAAGAGGTTTCCCCTAAAAGGCAACAAGGGCAGTGAAGTTTTGCAAAAACCAAAATTCCAAGTTGTCCAAGTGCTGCAGGACACTGGGCACCATATTTTGCCATCCCTGACTGTACCATTTTAATTTTGCATTTCATAAGGAACTTGGGCCTGTTCTGATCATTGCAACAAACCATTAATGCCCTGCAGTGAGATTTCACGTTGTTATCATAGCCTGATGGGGAAGCGTAGACACCAGAGGGAGCTCTGAGTGCATTCTATAGTGCTGTAGGTGACTGGAGCTGTGTATTAGCAAAGTTCTTAAGTCTTAAATTTCTGTGCTGTGGACCACCTGAGAGCTGTTCTTATGGAACATTTCCCCTCCCTACATCCCACTACCCCACTTGAATTGAAGCAAATACTCTCAAGGCCCCTTCTCTGAAGCCATCCTTTAGATCAGAATTATGCATTAAGGGTTCACAATTTATGCAGCAGTATTACAATATTATTCTCTGAGGAAAGATTATTATTACAACGGTGTTGGGAGTACGCGAATAAATTAGAGGCTAAAGGCTTCACAAGAATATTGTAGTTATAAAAACCCTCAAGCATTAGAAACAGAAAACTCGGAGCTGGGGATTGAATTTCAAAGAAACCCAAACGTCAAACACTGCAGCAAAGCCAAGTTGTCACAGCACGGCTCGTGACATCTTCCAACTGAGAGCATCGCTACCACTAGTCTGGTACAATGACTGAATCACCGCCATCGTTTAGGCTCATCTCCAATGTATTTTCATGAGGAGTTTAATAATCTGCTGCAGCTGTGGACTAAGCTTATATTTAGAAACTATGTACTTGTACAGACAAGTACAGTCCCAACTGTAAGTATGTTTTCCCACCACAGTAAGCTTTTCTCTGGTCAGTTCAGAAGCATGATTTAGTTATCTGGGTCTAAGCAGTTTCTCTATGCTAGTTCTCTATTCATCAATATTCTACAGCTGGTACTACATCAAGTCCCACTCAAGAACGGAGAAGGATGCCATTTATCTCATCTGCAATTTCTAACAATCCCTCTCTACAAGCAGTGGCTGGCTGTAACAGGCATTTAAGTTTGACACATGACCAATAGGGAAGAAACGAGGGGGTGTCATGGGCTAAATGAAACTCAAGGAAAATGGTCTCCCAATGCATTTTACTTCTTGTCTGGCAATGTACTGGTAAAAACTACACAATTTAGTTACTGGGCGCAAAGAGGTAACCACTTATTAGAGATGTAATAGTGTAGTCGATTAACCGAGAAACTTTTGCTTATCGGTCAATACTACAGACTACATGCATCCCTCCCCCAGCATCGCAGATCAGTCCTGGCTCATGCAGGGTCCGGGACCTACCCCTGCTGAGGCTCTGCATTTAAAGTGTATTAGGAACCAGGCACGCAGGCAGCCTGGTTCAGTTCCGGCATGCGCAGGGTCTGGAATCTCAGCCCCCTCCCCCTGGACAGAGGCTGCTGCCACCCTGCGCTGCTGCTTCTTTATCAGAAATCAGAAAGGACCACGGTGGCCATCTAGTTTGACCCTCCCCCTCCCGGTACGTCAAAGGTCAGAAAACGTCCCCAAAGTATGACCCACAACACATCTTTTAGAAAAACATCCCATCTTGATTTAAAAATTACCAGCAATGGAGAGTCCACAATAATGCTTGGGAAGTTGTTCCAATGGTTAATCATGCCCACTGTTAAAAATGTACTCCTGATTTCCAGTCCTGAGTTTGTCTAGCTCCATCTAGACATAGCTGGAGTTGTGTAACGTAAGCTGACCTTCCAGATTTGGTACAGTACTGGGCTGAGAGAGAAAAGTACATTCTCCTCACCTCATTTTCACCTTACCCCTCTATTCCAAGTGTGAGTGCCCAAAGGACTGGTTATGCATTCTGATGCTCAGATTTGATTTCTTGCATTCTCTGTTCCTACAAAGCTGAGTGCCCACCATGGATGCTAATAACATTACCAAGAAACATCAGAATGGAACTTAATTGTCAAGGTCACTGTCACCAAAAGAAACAGCACCTTTGTGATTAAAATCTACCACTGTCCAAGAAAACCACAAGCACCAATAGACACTGGAACAGTTTCTGCTATTTTCTCAAGACTACAACCGTTTACATTTCAAAAGCTGCCCAATCAAAAAGGCTAGGGTTGGGATTCTCAGAAGGGTTTGGGTAACTCAGAACCCGAGTCCCCATGTATTTTAGTGGGAACTGCAATCCTAAGTCACTTAGAGGCTTTTTGAAAAACCCATCCTAGTAACGTAAATTCAGCTAAGTTTGATGGGTGGCAACCTCGACTCCCATCTCACCAGAGAAAGCCTCTTACTTCTAAGTAAAATTTTCAATCTCAGGTCAAACAACTAGAACATGCATGTTTCAGTTCACAGGTCTCCTCTTCCCCCCCCCCCCCCCATGGTCTTGTTTTTGCTAGGAACACACTTATGTCCCCCATTAAGCAACAAGAAATGGACATCAAAAAAGTACCGCACAGCAGAATCCATTTAAACCACCTCAGTTCAAGTGTCTAGAAATAAAACTAAATAAAAAAGATGTATGTAATGCTTGTATTACATGAACTAAGGTCACAGTAACCAAAGAATGTTCTGGCTTGTTTGTTGTTCACATTTGACAGCACTCTGTCTAGCTTGTTTTCCATAGTAAAGCTTTTGCAAAATGGTGGAAGGAGAAGAACTAATAAGTTTCTGGGAGATGCAAAGATAGTTGCATCTAAACTATTTTAATTTATTTCACTAAACTGTCCGGATTCCGTGTTTATAGCATATTTTAGCTATTAATCCACATGTAAAACATAGTTTTACAGAACAAAGCATTGCTGACATACAAGATTAAAAGCTGTGTTCATGAAACTATGCCCTTACACACGGTGTTAATATTTTACATGACTAAAAGCTACTCTTCCCCCCCCCAATGCAAAGCTTTTGCTTTTTAGTTCATCTTGAACAATGAAAACCTAGTAGTCAGTATCACTTTCTCTTTCAAATGGCAATGTTTAGAATACAAAGATTGCAAGAGAACATTAAAGACCAACTAGAAGGGAAGGGCTTGTTCATGCCTTTTTCAGATGGGAAAACAGGATAATGGTTTAAGAACTCTTGTAAAAAAAATACACGCATTAAAATTTTGAGACTATGCTATCTGAGTGTCCTTTAAAACTGAGTATTGAAAAAGACACTCAAAGCATGTGACACCCAACTCCTCAACAGGTTTCATCAGATTTTATAATTCTTCCATCTTAAGTACTAAAGCACCCCACCTATCCCAAGTAAAGGTCAGTTCTCCTTGCAAATTGTACAATTAAGTTTAAATACTGAAATCTGCATGGACTTCTTAAAACTAAGGCAATGCAAATGTTCTTGAAGTTGTTGAGAATTTCTTTTCAAGTATGCACTGTAAAATGGACACCATGTAATATCTCCCTCACAGTGAAAACTGCAGTGAGATTTGCACCTAAAGCAAATCTGTTTAGTAGGACTGTAACAAGTTCTCCTCAAACACTTAATGTAAGCCCTTGTCTAGGTTAGCAACAGTGACAGTACAAGCAGAGAGAAGTCACTGAGAAAACTGTTCAACCTTATCTAAAGTCTTGAAAGATATCCAAGTGTGATTTTATCACCACCAGCCTTTCAGATTTAACGAATGTTAGCATTCTGCCCTTCCCTCCCACCCACAGATTTTTTCAAACCTCTGAGTGAGAAAACAACAACTTAAGTTGGTTTCTCAGTACAGATCTGGTCCAAGAAAGGATTTTATCATTTGCAGGCATATGATTCAGCATTTGGGGGACAAACTATAAACAAGGATCCATTGCGAGAACTCTTCTCAAGTCCCTTCCTGTAGATTTTCCTGTTGCTTGCACACTCACTACACAAAAGACAGACCTGCGATGCTGGGCACAACGTTAACTCATGACTACATTAGTGCTATGAAGTCTCAGAGTGGGAGCCACGTTAGTCTGTAGCTTTTAAATTCACAAGTAGTCTGTGGCACCTTAGAGACTAACAGATATATAGAATATACAGTAACAGATCTACTATCTCAGGGTCTGCTTGTAACATACCTCAGACAGACCAAGATAATCAGAACTAGCAATCTACAAATTTCAAGTTTGTAATTATGCAACTGCTAGATTTTCAAAAGCAATGAATATCCACTACCTTCCATTCACCTCACCTGCAATCTGAAAGTCAGCAATGGAAGGTCTATACCAAATTTCAGCTTGCTTGACCTTCTTTTTTGCTCAACAGCTGATATTTGTCAACATACTTTTTTAAAAAAAATTAGGAGCATGTTTTAAGTACAGGAATGTTATATCTCACAGTATAACCTTCCTAGCCCACTTCCCCTCAGAAGGCACCGGATAAATATATTTTTGAAGCCAAATTAATAATGAAAAAAATTCTGTTTATAAACTGCTTTCTAGAATAGTGCTAATTCTTTCAGAGTGTCATGAAAACAGGGCCTGAAATTCCACTACTATAAAAATGCCTTTATTCTTTGTCACCCACCCACTCTTGCAGTACTGTGTTGTCACTAAGAGGAAAAAAAAAATCAAACATCCCACAAATTTCCTGTTTCCCCTCAGACTGATATGCTCTCACACATTTATTTCTCTGCTTTGGTCTCCTCTTTGCTTCATTCCTTTAAATATTCCAGCTAACAGTACTGCAGAGACCAGACTAACTTCTCTTTCTCCTTGCTACCCACACACTGAATATGTCTAGAGCAAAGCAAGTAATGGGGTTTCACAAGAGTAAGGCTCAGATGTGTCAATCACCCAGGCACCCAAAGATCATGTGGTCATTACAGAACAAGCTGTTGACATGTCCTTTACTAAGAGTATCGTCACCACAAAACTCAATCTCAATAAGGCTTCCCCCAAAATAAGCCACCTGAAGGAAAAATCTAGACTGTACCTATTAGGCAAAAGGCTCTAGCTCTCTAGTTGTCCCCAGGCCACTGATTATGATAAGCATTCATTGTATATGTTGTGGATCTGGAGAGAACTTAGACCTTCCATGTTACAGTACTTGTTTTAACAAACACATAAGGGCTACATCTACACTGGCCCCTTTTCCGAAAGGGGCATGCTAATTTTAAACTTCAGAATAGGGAAATCCGCGGGGGATTTAAATATCCCCCGCGGGGTTTAAATAAAGATGTCCGCCGCTTTTTTCCAGCTTGTAGATAAGCCGGAAAAGAGCGTCTAGACTGGCCCGATCCTCTGGAATAAAGCCGTATTCCGGAGGATCTCTTATTCCTACTTCAAAGGGCCAGTCTAGACGCTCTTTTCCGGCTTATCTACAAGCTGGAAAAAAGCGGCGGACATCTTTATTTAAACCCCGCGGGGGATATTTAAATCCCCCGCGGATTTCCCTATTCTGAAGTTTAAAATTAGCACGCCCCTTTTGGAAAAGGGGCCAGTGTAGACGTAGCCAAGCTGTATACATTAAGGTTATGTCTATAATGGAAATCAAACCACAAAACATTTGTTGTTCAGGTGTTAAAAAAACCCTGCAAGACTAAAGTTTTGTTGCATCAAATGCCAATACGACTAGAGGGCTGTCGGCAGGAGTGCTTCTGCTGACAAATTACACCCTGATTGTAGGGGGTGGAAGTATTTTGACAGCCGACAAATAGTGGCTGCAGTGCCTGACTTTTAGAGCAGGTCAACGCTACAGGGCAATGCTGACCTAAGTTATACAACTCCAGCTACATGATTAGCATATCTGGAGACAATGTACCTTAGGTCGAGTTACCTTAGAATCTCCATTGCGGGGGGCTGACCGGACAAACTTCTGTCGATTTCTCTTACAGTTCTCGTTCTGGTGGCGTACCAGAGCCAATGAGAAAGTCATCAGCATTCGATTTAGTGGGTCTTTACTAGACCCGTTAAATTGACTCCCGTAGGATTGATAATCACAGCTCCCATCTCCATGTGTAAGTGTAGACTTGCTCATAACACCAATGTGTTGACACAACCGTGCTGCAAAGAAAGCTATGTAGTATAGACAAAGCCTAAGGCCTTGTCTACATTCCACCCTGGTTGATCTAACATACACAGCTTCAGCTGTGTTAATAGCATAGCTGAAATTGACGTACTTAGACCTACTTACTTACTGCATGGAAGATGTTGCAGGTCGGCAGCTGATGGTCTCCTGTCAACTCTGCCTACTTTTCTCCTCCTGGTGTAGTACCGGAGTTGATGGGAGAGCATTTGGAGGTCGATTTATCGCATCTAAGCAGATGTGACAAATCTATGCCAGTGGATCGATCACTGCAGTAAGCCCTGAAGAGAGGTATACTTTACCTAACAACATCTTGCAAGACTATTTAAAACACAAGAAGAAGTATTCTTGCTGCCGTACAAGCATTTTCCAAGATGAAACATTCACAGAAAATCTTCGAAGGTGGGACAGCAAGTTGAATCAACACTGAAAGTGGCATTTTCCATTTCACTTAGAAAGTTAAAGATTGAAATCCGTACTTCCCAGTTTTGTTGGGTTTTTAAAATCTAAAATCAACTAGGCGGAACCAGTTGTAACGTTAACATTCCAGAAGTACTGAAGTATGTACGGCTCAATCATTCACGTGCCTATGATGGATAACAGTTTTAACAACACAGCAATTCTAGCAAACTTTTATGTAAAATATTACTATTTGTATTTTTGTAGCACCTAAGTCCATGCCAGACCAGAACCCCAATGTGATAGGTAGTGTACAATGTATGTGATTCAAAAGTGGGTTACAAGTAACCTTTTCATATAAAGCAGCTAATTATATATTCTAGTGATTCATCTCAACGCTAAATACCCAGGAATAGTTTAAGTAATTTATTCAAAATCTCACCTATCAGCAATAAAATATTTTCAAACAGATTACTCCAAAAGCTTCAGACTAAACATAAATAGTAAACCTGCTAACTCTACTTTTTCTGACTATAAAAAAAATTAAGTTCTATGGGTGTTTTCTTTAGCATCTAACAAATAAGAATCTGCAAAATCTTCAACAGAAGAGCAATTTATTCCCTTCTGTTCTTTCAGCTCTAAAGAACCATCTGAGAACTGTCCACTTTTAGCTCACATAGCTCATGTGAAGTACGTATTTACTCTGTTGCTCATATGTTTTGTTATATTTTCAATTTATTTTGTCAACACAATGGCCAAAATAATTTGTAAAAAATGTAGCTGCCATCACACACATGTACTACAGAATACTTTAAAGAAGTAAGAAGATGTTACAAACTAGACGGTGAAGTGTTTTAAGATACAATTATAGGAACACCAATGACGTCATACTTTTTTGTTTGTTTTTAATATACTATTAAGAGTAGCAGTAACTATCATTTACTGCATGTTTGGACAGTGCTTTGCTAATGGTATCCTGACTTGAGACCTCTCACCACTTCTGCAATTAATTATAAATGCCACCACTGCTCACCTCCATTTACTGTAATCTTAGGAAAAACAGCTTTAATTTTCTCAGTGCCTTTTGGGGACTTGAAAGCACTTTATCTAATGAGCAACACTTTTTTGCCCCAGGTAGCTAATTTCCTCTTCTGACTGTCCTGTTTCTTTGTGAAACAAACTACACAAAGAGAGAACATTTAATACAGGAACAAGACCCCCATCCTCGCACGTGCCAGTATTTGCAGGACAGTTGCAAGCGCCATTAGCTTCTGTGGGACACCACATAAGTGCAGCAGTGTATTCCCCAGCAAAAAGATTCAGGACAGTTGCATGGCTCAGAGATAAGTGGCACAGGAATCGATTATGTCTCGTATACATTTATGGACTTTCATAATTTCTCACATTGCTAACATTTTAACGTTGCCAGCATCAGTGGAAGAAACTTTGAAAACAGTAAGTTTTATTCATAGTTGTTCCTGCTCAGAAGAATTTCCTGATACTTCTGAAGACTAAATTCACAGAACTCGTTCTGTAGAAAAAGAATATACGGAGTTCTCCCAGGAACTAGTGTTTATTGTCTCACTGTTTCTTTGAACACCATTTGTCTTATACGGACAAATTATAACAGAGTGAAGTCTTTGGAGCACAAACTGGGAAGATGGGGGAGGGGGTTTGTTTTTTCTTCTGCTTTTATACAGCACCTAATAATATTGTGTCCTGGTCCATGATCATAATAATAATGATACCTCAGGTAAGTTAAACACACACTTCTTAAAATGGCCCTGAAACTTGTCTAGCTTTGGTAGAATCTGTCACTGAAGTAGTCAGCGTTGGGGTCTGGCAGATAAGCTAAGGAATTGCTACAGAATCCATACACCCAAGTCTAAACCATCATAATTTAAAGTAAGCTATCCAAATAGCAAAATGGAAAATAGCCAGCCCAGTCCTCCAAGGATTCTCTGCCCTTTTTACAAGGTACTGCATGCCCTCAATTCCTACTTCATGCAAATGGGAGAAAACTGTAATTCTCTTAAAAGTGCCCAATCTTACTGCCACTGACTCAAGTTAGCCTGGTGACTGAGTACATAAAAAACAAATGCAGGCAGAGGGCACATAGCTTTTAAGAATCTCAATCAGAAACCATACAAAATAAGACAACTTGGTTAAGAGAGTCAGGAACCTTATTTGCAAGTATTGCACAAGGTCAGACCACCACAGTTAGGTTAGTTCTTACCAGGAGGCTTCCTAAACAAAATCTCAGAACAGAAATGGATCCTACTCTAAGCAATGAAACAGGAGAAAGAACAGAAAATGCCACAGATTTCAAGCATGATAAGAGCAGGAGAAGGAAAATGCTTACTACATTCAAAGCATTCAAGAGAGAGCATATTTCAGCAACAATATCTTGCGCAGCAGAAATCGCTGCACTCTGAAAAGAAAGGGCAGTTACTGGGATGTTGTGGCAGCCAGCTGGCTCTTAAATGAGTTTAGAAAAGACCACATAAAGCGTTTCCTACAATAATTTTAGAACTAAAAGTGATGGGGAGGCAGACCCCTTCTGGACGCTCACTTAAGTCATATCTACACTTAATACACTGCATCAGCTGTGGAAGAGCTTCTCAGGTAGACACAAGAAACCCTCCCATCAACTCGCTATTGTCTGCGCCTAGCAGCCAGGTCAATATCACAATGTCCTTTGGGGGGCCGGCCTGTTCACAGCCCAGAGGACACAGCTCTACTGATGCACAGTTCACTGTGCCAAGTAAAAGTGCCCAGGCTGGGTTTTCAGCCCCGGTGCAGGTGCAGCTCCAGGGGCAGGCACTGGTAAGGTGGCAGAGCAGTCCCAGCGAGGGATGTAGAACCCCACTGACTCAGCGAACCGGGCGAGTGTTTTAAATGGGGGAGGGGGGGCTGGAGCCACAGAGGGGGGCTGCTCCGGCCAGGCTGGCGCCCCGGGCAGGCCCTGCAGCCCCCACGCGCTAACCGGTTTGCAATTCCCATCGCTAGCGCCAGC